TGTCAGTTGGCCAGCGAGATCGCTACAGTTCCGGGCAGCTGGCAGATGGCACGACCGTCACCCGCAGCTCTCACGAGGAGGGCGTTCAGCTCAGGGCAGGCACGGACCTCGGTCGGTCTCAGAGCCACTTCGTGTACTTGTCTGGAGGTGCGTGAAGAGGTTGACCTGTGCTGTCAGGTCTCGGCACGGCTCTGGCAGCTACCGGCGCCGGAGTCCTGGTTTCCAGGACTGGAGTTAAGGGTTCATTTGGAACTATTTAGTTGCCAGTACCGGACTTCGGGAGGCAATTACGAGGCCAAACACACCTCAAGACCCTATTTCCTAGTTATGTCGGCGGCACTTTGGCAGAGTCCTGAGATTATTTGAGAATACTCAGGCTACCGGGGTGGGGAGCCTGGTGGGAGTCTCTGGCAACGTGGGCGTCACGGAAACGTTCGAGCGACGTGAGGCGGCCAATGGTGACTACTCCATGTCCCTGGTCTTCGGATTTCAGAGTTTTTCGGGTTTGGGGTTGAACCATCTTTCTGAGGTTGCTTCCGGTTGTGGGTTTTGCGGTGAAAGGGAGGCTTGCAACTTGGAGGATTACAGATCCTGTGTTGTTCAGCATTGCAGTTTGTGTCGTGCAAGTCTTAGGAGAGCGTTCTTCAAACAGATTCGCAAAGTGCAGAACTGCCACAGCCAAGGGACACGGAGAAAGTGTGGGGCTTTGCAGGCGCCGTGGATGTTGCCGGTGTCAACGTGAGCCATGTCCTTGGCTTCGGAAGCCTGGATTCCGGCATCCTCACAGGTGAGGCTGTTCCGAATCAGGGCTCCCTTGAGTCTGCATTCCTCGCTGAGGCATCAGTAAATGCTGAGCCCAATGTAGGACGATCCCCAGGTGTTCACGTCGAAGGGGGCGAGTCGGCCACAGGCAACTTCATTATCTCCACAGAGCAGCAATGGAAGAAAACCACCCATGGTGCGGGGATTGCTTTGATGGGTCTGAAGTTGGAGGCCCGGGCGGCAGGAGAGCTTGTTTCAGACTACAGCAGCACAACATACAAGCGAGTAAGCCAGCACAACAAGTTCACCAGAATGCAGCGGAGTACACCAAATTGGATGCAGCATGGCAGAGAATAACAGAACCTCCTAGAGCAGACGAAGATCACATTCAGCCATGGTGGAAGATGGGCGAGCATAAGAGTCAAACACAGATTGAGATAACATCCAAAACTCCATAACGCAAGGTCGCGTCAAAATGTTCCGTGAAGCCCGCGCCCTAACCTCGGCACTGCTCGGATTCCGTGAGCCCTGGCAGGTTCCATATCAACTCTCCGAGACATCGGGAAAGACGCTGAGCATCTGTGGACTGGAGTGGTCCCTCTGCCTGTTGTGGGCATGACAAGTAGTATGGGTACTATTACTGTATTTGTATCATTACTAGTATTAGTATGTATTTGCACTATTACTATTATCAATACAATCACTAGTACTATAAGAACCCTTGCTCTAGTCTTACCCCAGATCTTGGTATGTGTGCTGCATGTCGGGTGCATTCTACACCCAAACTCCCCGCAAAAACCCCCAGCCCGCCTCCCAAGACCACAACACTACCATAAGAACCCAAAACCCACTTTTTTGTAGGCTCTTATTATAAACCCTAATATGGGATTTATAGGGACCCTACAAAAAAGTAGGGTTTGGGTTCTTAAGGTAATCCGTAAACCCTAAACCCTCCACTCAGCCAAGCAGACCCAGGCTCCAAATCCGACGTCCACTCCCGAAGCTCCGAAACTCCGAAATCCCATACCACGCGAAGCCCTGAAGCTCAAGTCCGAAGCTCTTAGAGCCCGAGAACACAGTCTCTTCCAGACAGATCGTCAAACCCTTCCGTGTTGGAATGGGGGCAGTTCCGGGACCCCGAACCTGAAGCTTTGAAATCGAGGTATCGCTGCTCTGAGTTGCGTGACACTACGCTCTGGGGCCAGAGTGGTGAAAAGACTCAGACATTCCTTCTCCTGGTGGAGGCAAGGCCCTAGTGCGGGTTCTATGAAACTCCTCGCGGCGCATGTAAGGAAGAGCACGAAGGGTGAGGCTTTGTACTCATCTTTGTCTCGTTGGGGTTCTAATTCCGGTCATCATTGTTGTTCCCCTTTTTTTGCAACTGCTACTTCATCTATCCATCTACTGTTATCTTTCAGCAGTTGCTTCCGCATGCTATCTAACCACGGCGAGATTCATGGGATGTAGTGTGGAGCGGCGCGCGGTCTTGTCCCCTCATGTTCTTCCAGCGCAATGAGGGACGTGTCCACACAACGCTTCTTAGCGTCAGCTGTCGGCCGGAAGACCTTGTTTGGTTGAAGGAGTTTTTCGTTTTGTCTTGGGAAGATTTATTTCTCGTCGGGCTTTATATGCTTGGATTTTTTTTGATCCGTTTTGCCTCCTGCTTGTGTTTGCTTCTCGCTCTCTGCTGTTTTTTGTTATTGTTTTCTGTATTTCTGCTTTGCCGCTTGTCTGCTCCGCTTTGCTGCTTTTCGTTTTTTCCACCCTCATCCTTCCGGTCTCGTC